GAGATTCTGAGCGAGTGAGATTCTGACATTCCATCGGTTATAATACGAGGTAGTACGTCCCATCAAGTGGACCCCATCGTCATCATGCCATAGGGTCCATGAATTATCCACAAAGGTAACAGCACTGAAGTGATGCAGACGATGTACTAAGATGTACTGTGCACAAGTATTCAAATCCATGGCAGGCATATAATTCTGTGGAGCAGACTGGGATTGCAGTCGTCTTCCCATAAATGTCATACTTCTTTTATCCGGTGCAATGTTCACGCCAGCCGCACTTAGCCTACTGTCATCCTTCGGGCAGACATCACGGTGCTCCTCTCCTCTTCTATACAGCCCACAATGTCTAGTGTAGTATGCACAGTGGCCTCACTGTAGGGCTATCAGATCATTTGCCTTGGCAGATTGCACGGCAGGGGGAGTTTCGTTCTCGTCTTGACTGTCTCTAACAGGCGCCTCTTGCTGCATTAACTCCACTCACAATCGCATGCGTTCAAAAGAGAGATCATCTCCTGTCAGGGGTTCCATCAAATGACCAGTGGGTGGATTATTGTGAGTTGAATGGGGGGGAGGGCAATAAGGGCAAGGTGGATTAGAAGTGGGGGGGTCAGATGCAAGAAGCGGAAGCTGATCAGCCGCACTTGTACTCAAAGTGGATGCTGCTGGTCGTGCAAATGCTGCACAGGTGGCTGCCCCTCTTGTCTGCCGCACACGCAGGCCTCCAGCACTGTAAAAATCATTGGCACTTTGTCAAAAAAAAAAAAAAAAATGATTTACAATTTGATAGATTTGCTGTTGTGTTCTTTTTTTGGTACAGGGGGAAAAACAAAAACAAAAACAAAGGCTGTATGACAATAGGAACTACGACAAGAGTGTTCTCTTAAAAAAGTAAAATACTCACCGATTTCGACTTCCATGACCACCATCCCGCCCACGTGTTTGTGTGTGTGTGCATGTGCGCAGGACAGTGGTCATGGAACTTATGATGGAAGTCTTATCCACATTAAAAAAAAAAAAAAAAAAAAAAAAGCATGTAACAAC